AAATTAAAAGGCGGGGGGAGGGGGAGGGGGGGACTGGGAGGAACTGGGATGGACTGGGATAAACTGGGATAAACTGGGATGGACTGGGATGGACTGGGATGGACTGGGAGGGACTGGGAGGGACTGGGACAAACTGGGAGAGAACTGGGAGAGAACTGGGACAAACTGGGAGGGACTGGGATGGACTGGGATAAACTGGGATGGACTGGGACAAACTGGGACAAACTGGGATAAACTGGGATGGACTGGGATAAACTGGGAGGGCTCAAACTGGGACTGGGACAAACTGGGATTAAACTGGGAGAGAACTGGGATGAACTGGGAGAGAACTGGGAGGGACTGGGACAAACTGGGGGGGCTCAAAATGGGACTGGGACAAACTGGGAGGAACTGGGAGGGAACTGGGAGGGACTGGGAGGGACTGGGATGAACTGGGGGAGCTCAAACTGGGACTGGGACAAACTGGGATTGAACTGGGAGGGAATTGGAATGAACTGGGACAAACTGGGAGGAACTGGGATTAAACTGGGCCATACTGGGAAGCGCGGGGCCCGCTCAGATCCACGCTCCAGACAGGTCTGAACTGGTTCGAACTGGTCCAAACCGGTTTATACTGGTCCAAACTGGTTTATACTGGTCCGAACTGGTTTATACTGGTCCAAACCGGTTTATACTGGTCCAAACTCGTTTATACTGGTCCGAACTGGTTTATACTGGTCCAAACTCATTTATACTGGTGTAAACTGGTTTATACTGGTCCAAACCGGTTTATACTGGTCCAAACTGGTTTATACTGGTCTAAACTCGTTTATACTGGTCCAAACTGGTTTATACTGGTCCAAACTCATTTATACTGGTCCAAACCGGTTTATACTGGTCCAAACTGGTTTATACTGGTCCAAACTGGTTTATACTGGTCCGAACCGGCCGGAAGCGCCGCGCTGCGGGGGAGGGGAAGGGAGGGGGGAGGAGCCTCGCCCACGCCCCTCCCCCACCCCCGNACAAAAAAATAAAAGTTAAAAAAAAAGAAAAAATTTAAAATAAATTAAAACGCGGGGGGAGGGAAAAAAAGGAACTGGAAAAAAAAAGGACAAACTGGGAGGGACTGGGAGGGGACTGGGATAAACTGGGATGGACTGGGATAAACTGGGAGGGCTCAAACTGGGACTGGGACAAACTGGGATTGAACTGGGACAAACTGGGGGGGACTGGGACAAACGGATTAAACTGGGAGAGAACTGGGATGGACTGGGAGAGAACTGGGAGGGACTGGGACAAACTGGGAGGGACTGGGATGGACTGGGAGGGAACTGGGATAAACTGGGATGGACTGGGATGGACTGGGATGGACTGGGATGGACTGGGATTGAACTGGGATAAACTGGGAGGGCTCAAAATGGGACTGGGACATTAAACTGGGATTGAACTGGGATGCACTGGGACAAACTGGGATAAACTGGGATGGACTGGGATAAACTGGGGGGGACTGGGACAAACTGGGATAAACTGGGATGAACTGGGACAAACTGGGAGGGAACTGGGATAAACTGGGAGGGCTCAAACTGGGACTGGGACAAACTGGGATTGAACTGGGACAAACTGGGGGGGACTGGGACAAACTGGGATTAAACTGGGAGAGAACTGGGATGAACTGGGAGAGAACTGGGATGGACTGGGAGAGAACTGGGATGGACTGGGATGGACTGGGATTGAACTGGGATAAACTGGGAGGGCTCAAAATGGGACTGGGACAAACTGGGACAAACTGGGATTAAACTGGGATGGACTGGGATAAACTGGGGGGGACTGGGAATGGGGCCGGGAGGGAACTGGGACAAACTGGGACAAACTGGGATGAACTGGGATTAAACTGGGCCATACTGGGAAGCGCGGGGCCTGCTCAGATCCACGCTCCAGACCGGTCTGAACCGGTTCGAACTGGTCCGAACCGGTTTATCCTGGTCCAAACCGGTTTATACTGGTCCAAACTGGTTTATACTGGTCTAAACTCGTTTATACTGGTGTAAACTGGTTTATCCTGGTCCAAACCGGTTTATACTGGTCCAAACCGGTTTATACTGGTCCGAACCGGCCGGAAGCGCCGCGCTGCGGGGGAGGGGAAGGGAGGGGGGAGGAGCCTCGCCCACGCCCCTCCCCC